AATCATTGAGTCGGATTAGACCATTAGCATCTTACACACAAAAAAAGAGCTATGAATAATTTCCCTATTAAAAGCCTGAATCTTAAAAGTACTAAGACCTAAAAAATGAACTGTTGCTGTTTTCTAGGTCGATGCGTATACTATACACTATACTATATATATATATATATATATATATATATATATATATATATATATTATACATTCTGAAATAATAATAAAGAAACTTTGCTGCCGTACCACTGCTGCAGCAGACACAAACATATTATGCAGCACCTGAAAATAATCGCCAGATAGAAAGCTATAGTGCTGCATAATATCATTGCACCTGTTACAGCGGGAAGCAAAGTTCCTTAATTATTATGCTGGAATAAAAGTACAGTTCCCAAAGTTGTAGTACAGTTCCCAAGTTGTAGGCCTATGTTATGGACGTTTGTGCTAAACAAGTATTGATGATAATACAGTCACTTACTGTATTCACCATAAGACAAAGTAGCACCAACTTGCACTAAATTCTAGGCTTATGATAGTTTTGTTGAATAAAATAAGCAAACAATGTTATAAAATATGACAATAAGATGCTACGGTGCCAGAAGCTTGGATATTTGTCAGCTAAGTGGACAAGTCGTTCATAACGGGGTTTCATTCACAAACAAATAGCTTGAAAGAAAGGGGTGTGTTTTAGGACACAGATTAGATCAGATTTAACAGGGAGGGAGGATAATACATTCCTATGCACTCAAACACATGCTCTTTGTCGGCAATGCCTGTGCGCTCACTCATCCATCGATATAGAAAAGTAATAAAAAAAATATTTGCATACTGACCACTGGGAAAACTTCAGATCATAGATATATGTATAAATGTGTATACATCCCTGGCTCTGGATCTGGTGCAGCCCTCCACTGGTCCCACATTCAAAGGAGCACTACCTTGTACTAAAATGGCAGCTCTATTGACGCATTCCTTCCAATAGACAACATTAACATAGGCGACATGTAATGTAAATATCTATGCTTACTAACCAAAAGGTGGAGTGTCCCTTTAAATTCAATAATTTAGTAAATTCATCAGTTCATTTATTTGTGCATCCCTGATCACCGAGTCCTAAAATGTCAAGGTTGACCTCTGTTTCCTCTTTTAATCGAACAGTCAGTAGAGTAGAGCTGAAGTTTAAATGAGGACAATGGGTTTGTTTCCTCACTATCACGCAACCATTTTACCACGAGTGTCTGTTATCTGGACAAACAATCACTCAGCGCTGCCCTCAGGCTGCTGTTCACTGCTTACAAAAATAACTTATAATGACATTGCCTTTGCATGTCTGCTGGAGAGCTGTCAGAGATTAATGGGTTGGTCACGACGGATAAAAAATAAACTCCAGATAAAGTAGCTTAATTTTGAAAAACATCGCAGTACCTGTTGGACCACATTAACAAACAACTAACGTACACAAATTTGAAACCTTGTAACGGATACTACCAGAAGACATTTTTCGACAGAAACCACTTTATAACCCATCTATAGGTGCACATTCTTTAATTAATTATTTTTAGTATCACCATGCCAAAAAATGATAATATAAATATAATATAAATAGACAATCCCTCAAATAAAATAACATTTCAGAGAAAGAACAAAAGAGAAACTTTTGATCCCAAGGTCAGTGATCTAGAATAGATAGTGACCTGTGCTTTTCTGCAGTGATGTAGCCATCAGCTGCACGACACGCTCCTGTTCTCTCCTCCATATTCAGTCTGTCCATTGATTGTTAGTTTGGTTGTTTCCTGAGCTGCAGGGTCAGGCCTGGGGAGACAAGCGGATCTCACGACCCCTGCATTGCCAATGCTGTGAACGCACCGTGAACTTCAGCTGTTTACTTAATGGATAAAAGGTTTATTGATTCTTGGAGTTGATACCACGCTGGGATTGAATCAATTGTGTAGAGATTTTCCATGTGTTTGTCGGTTTATGTTCGCCTGCAGAAGGAGCTTCATTCTAGATCCCAACTGAAACATTTTTACTTTATATTAGAAATTAGTGTGAGGCAATATCAACTAAATGAAGGCTACTTTAGGTGTCACTTTTTATTTTTTACTTGCAGTACACACCAACGTCCACTTTGTGGCAGTCTGTGTTTTCCTGTTAGCAATGCTTACCATGAGGAAAAAATGTTTACATGTTAACAAATAAGTTTTAAAATTATATACAATCGTGATCTTGTATCAAATAGCATTGTAGTTGTTTCATTTTCTGTACACTGTATGGTATTCTGCATGGAGAAACGTATAGTTGAAGTTAGAATTTTTAGCCACCCTGAATTATTAGCCCTCTGTTTATTTTTTCCCCAATTTCTGTCTAACAGAGAGAAAAACATTTCAACACATTTCTAAACATGATAGAAATAACTCATTTCTAATAACTGATTTATTATATCTTTGCCATGATGACAGTAAATAATATTTTACTAGATATTTTTCAAGACACTTCTATACAGCCCAAAGTGACATTTAAAGGCTTAACTAGGTTAATTAGGTTAACTAAGCAGGTTATGGTAATTAGGCAAGTTATTGTGTAACAATGGTTTGTCCTGTAGACCATCAAATAAATAAATAAATAAATAAATATTATATATATATATATATATATATATATATATATATATATATATATATATATATATATATATATATATATATATATATAGCTTAAAGGGGCTAATAATATTGACTTAAAAATTTAAAAACTGCTTTTATTCTAGCCGAAATGAAACATTATTTTAAATATTTAAAAAAAAAAATATATATATATATATATATATATATATATATATATATATAAATCAAAGGGGGGCTAATAATTCTGACTTCAACTTTACATGTAATTAACAATACAAGCCTTGCCTCATGCATCTGGCTAAAGTATATTTATTATTTTCTGTCTGTAGTCTCCAAATTCAAAGCCACCTGTCTTGCAGCTCATTGTTTGGCCATAATGAACTTTGAATATGAATATATTTGTTGTTCCACAGAGGAGGGTGAGAGCAGCTTGCATGCAGATGAGAAGTGGCCCTTTGAGCATAATGAAAGTGTGTCCTTCTGCAAGTTTGTGTCCAAACAAAAACAATGTGAAAAAGAATTAATCTACGCCTCACGGGTCTCTCTTGACCTCAATCTCACTGTGAGTATTATTTGTTTCTGAGAGACCCACAGTTATTCATTGGTGAGTATTGGTTTATAAAACAATGCATGTTGTTAGGCGACACGGTGGCTCAGTGGTTAGCACTGTCGCCTCACAGCAAGAAGATCGCTGGTTCGAGTCGTGGCTGTGCCAGTTTGCATTTCTGTGTGGAGTTTGCATGTTTTCTCTGTGTTCGTGTGCATTACCTTTGGGTGCTCCAGTCAGGGGCGGATTTAGTGATTTGGGGGCCCTAAGCAATTCTAGTCACGTGCTTTAAAAGTTCTTTAAAAGTTGCACCTTTTGTGCTTTAATTTATTTTTAATTGATTTATTATGCTGGGTTTTTTTTTTCTTATATCACTCAATCACTATTTTTCTACATTTTGTCTAAAGATAAAATAATAATAACAACATGTAAAGCATCTTGTAAAACTTTTTTTAATTATTTGTTTTCTTTAAATGAATCCACAACTAAAATGATACAGAAACTATTTTGTTTTTTAAAACTAAATCTTCACCTAATTTGACTAGAATATATTTGCGCAGATGTAATAAACAATAAACATTTATTTTTTTAGACACTTATCATACAAAATATAATTGAAAAAATTATGTTATATATAATTTAAAGGTATAATTTATGCTTCTGGGTATTTATTTGGGTGCCCTCAGATCTCCTGGAGCCCCAAGGGCCGCTTATCTTGCTTATTAGTTAAATCCACCACTGGCTCCAATTTTCCTCACAGTCCAAAGACATGCAGTATAGGTAAATTGAATAAACTAAATTCGCCGTAGTGTATTTGTGTGCATGTGAGTGTGAATAGGTGTTTCTCAGTAATGGGTTGCAGCTGGAAGGGCATCCACTGTGTAAAACATATGCTGGATAAGTTGGTGGTTTATTCCACTGTGGTGACCTCTGATGAATAAAGGGATTAAGCTGAAGGTAAATGAAATGAATGCATGTTGTTAGGATTATATTGAGGGGTTAATCTGCCATCTTGTCCGCTTGATTGTGAATATATAAAAACAAATATATAAACAATATAATATAAACAAAAGTGACTAAAACCATACTTAATTCAAGTAAATGGTCTACTTTATTAGTTCAAAGAACTTTTGTGAGAATAAATGGTTAAAATCTGGGTGAAATAATGTTATATCATCATCTAGTGTCACACATATCTAAAAAAATAGATGGAGATATATATATGTATATATGTAAAAATGTACCAAAATACTTATTTTGACTGTAAAAACATACAAAATACTAAATTTTGTAAATTTATTTTATTTATTATGTACTGTTAAATTATCAGTGCTCACAAATGCAAAAATACCTAGTGGATAAATTAAAAAATTACAAGAAATACGTTTTTTGAGGCAGCACTGTGATCTGTGTATTTGTTAATAATTCGTAAAATTTCAATAATAATTTGAATAAATTATTTAAAGCATTACAACATTTTTATTTTAAATCCTAGGGAAAAAAAAGAATTTATTACACAATTTAAAAAAAGATATATATCATAAATCCAGCACTGAAAAAAATTATTCAAAGATGATTCCTTGGATTTACTCAGTTTTTTTTTACATTAAGGGGTTGTAAACAATTTATTTGTGTTGAATTTAAACAAACAAATTAAGTTGAACATTATTTAATTTAATTTGTTTGTTTAAATTCAACACAAATAAATTGTTTTCAACAGTTCTGCATGCAACACTTTTTTTCAGTGATTGAAGCTAATAATTTTCAAGTGATTTCTAACTGGTTTTATTTTCTTGTATATTATAATAGTAAAACATGATGAATATCAAGACTGGGCTCTATAAACATTATCTTAGGTGACAAAACAAGGATGTAGGTGTGGTTAACAGGTTACTCGAGGAGATTAATGTGTTGTTATCCAGCGTTCAGTGGACAGAAGGAGATATCCAGCCTTAAAGAAACAGGACAGGCTGTGCTGACTGGACAGCTATTCTTACTGTAGTTTTGTGTGCTCTTCTGGGTGTGGTGCTGAGGTGCCGCTTCTTCCTCATGGATGACTGAGACCGTGACCAGAAATCCTGTCATGTGGCAGAAAGCACAAGGGTGGAGCGCTATGTGTTTCTCAGGGTTTCATGTTTTGGCGTATACACTCTTGTTGCGAATTGTGGATTAAGAGTAAGTAGACATTACAAAATCCAAGATGGAAAAGAATGAAGAGGCCAAGAAGAAAGCAGAGGCGGGATAAAGAGACCAAACTGCATGCTGGCACTATTTGGAATGTCATGGAATGTTTTTTTTTTTTCCATTTCTTCAGCTCTTCTGTAATGAGAGCCAGAGAACAGCATCTCTGCTTTAATGCACTTTTCCTGGCATCCTTGATTCTGGAAACTTCATGAAAGGAAAAAAAAAAGACAAATTGTGTAGACTTAATAAAAACAGAACAGCTTTTTAAAAGCAGAAGAAGACTTGTCTTTGGAATTGGTCAGAACTCTTAACCATTTGCAACCTTTTTTTAGCATAAGGACCAAAAATTCAGGATTGGTTAAATGGATTTGGGAATAAACCTGGAGTGGATTTTGTAACTAAAGTCACACATCTAATTTTACCCTCTGGAGATTTATACTTTGACTCGCTTCTAGTTTTTTGAACTGGTGGAATGGGTTTTTGCAAATACAGACATAGTTAATTTGATTTTAAACAGCCTATACGCCAAACTAGAGGAAATGGAGAGTCCGCCAACGAATTCGTTTTTGGACAAATTAACAAACTTGTTTACTAAACATGAACCCCAATCACTGTCTGAGGAAAATACAAATATTATTAATTTTCACTCTTTGACTGGAAAAGGAGATGTTCATGGTCAACAAACATGTATTCAAAGGCAGGATGGTTTTGATGATCAAGGTGATGATTTTGTTAAGACTTTGCATGCAAATGCTGATGTTAACAGATCAGAGCATCAGAATGATGAGAAAACTGATTCTTCATCAAGAGAAGATCTATTGGACTTTGCCTTGGATGATAATCATGGCAATAAAACATTAGCAGCAGGCCAGGCTGACCAGGATGTAACAGATGGTCAAGCTGACACACTGCCTAAATCACTTAGCCCAGTCTCAGCCAGTGCTAAAAGTCTGGACAAACAACTTGAGGATACAGCAATCTGTACAGAGGATAATGAGCTTGTTTTGAAAAGAGGAGAGTTTATTTCAAAAATGAGCAATGACAGGCTCATTGAAGATGTATTGAACAAGAAAGATGTTGAGGAATCAGAAAATGTGGGGCTTACGCATAATGAGAAAGAAGAAGGCCACAAAGACGAAACCAGCATATTCAACAGCAGCGATAAAGAAACAATGGATATTCTGAGAGAAAATGCTGAAGAAGGACCACTGAAAGACCTCACAGACATAAACGTTCCCTCTAACAGAAATGTTCTGTCTGAATCTTTCGCAAAAATTAGCATATCAATGGAAAGTCTGCAGGAATCTGCCAATGAGAGCAAAATAAGTTCTGATGGAAACCTTCGAAACATTGCAGACAATCCAGAGGAAATCAAAGATGAACAAGCTTTTAAACAAACATCTTCAAAGTCGAACATTCAGAGCACTTTAACACCATCTGAAGATCATAGCCTCACTGATAAAAGGGCTTTCTTTTCAAACTCACCCGTGAGCACCAGAAGTGTGGTCATAACTCTTACACGTGTTGAAGCTTGTTCTGCAGGATCGTGTGCTGATACAATCCAACCGAGTGATGAGACTCAAGCTTCATGTAATGTATCAGACATCCATGTCCAAACATCTACTTCAAACCAGAAGAACCAGACAGGAGGTGAGATTTCAGATTTTGAGCGCATTGGCACTGAAGAAGAAAGTTCCACTTCACATGATTCAGAGAATAAAGCTAATTCAGAACAAGAACTGGAACCTTCAGAACCACTGGAGACTGAAATGCATACAGAGGGAGAAATTAATAAGGAAAATGAAGAGACCATTGAGAACACCACTGAAACCGCTAAAGTGGTAAAAGAGAAACCGCTTCAACTGTCGACGCTATTCAACGGGCTGCTCAGCCCTAAGAAAGAAGTTCTTGAGGAGAAAGACGAACCAGGGCAACCCCGAAGCACTTCCAAACGAGGACTTTTTACAGATCAGTCAAACAAGAAAGAAGTGAAAGCGGACTTCCTGGAACAGCTCACCCAATTCCTGAGCAAGGGGGAAGGAAAGAGAAAGCAAGAGAGCATCTCGAGCCCCCCAATGTCTCCAGTCAGTCAGGAAACTGTAGAAAATCCAGAGACAACTGTAGAGGAACCGGTCATTCCCCAGTCTGAGGAAACCAACAAATCTAGCAATGCAGAGACAGCCCTGGGCGCACTAAAGGCTTTCTTTACAGTTAAATCTGCCAAGAAGGACTCTTCTAATCGAAAGGACCTGGATATTGTGAAGAAGAAGATCAACAGGGACAAAGAAGTCCTTAGAGCTTTCTTTGACAGAAACTCAAGCAAGTCTCCAGAGATCAAAGACACTACTGATTGCAAAGTATGATATAATGGTTATATTTAAAATACAGATGGTTATGTGTAAAATACTTGTTTATTGGTAGTATCGGTAGTAACAAGTTCATATAAAAAGTCTTATTTTCTGTTAAGTTAATATTTGAATTATAATATTTATTTTTATTTAAATAAGTCATTAATTTATTCATTTTTGTTCCCTTATTTATTAGGGATCGCAGCTTAGTCCCTTATTTATCAGTGGTCGCCACAGTGGAAAAAAACATTATTTTGTTTTAAATGCACCAAATGCATGCATGCTCACTTTTATTTTTTTATTTATTGTATTTTTCCTTTTTTTTTCATTTATTCCTTTTTTTTCAGCTATGTCCTTTCATAATCAGGGGTCGTCACCTTTTTGCTGTGAGGCGATTGTGTTACCTACTGCACCACCATGACGCCCTACTTTTCATTTGTTTTTGTTTTTATTTTATTTTTTATTACTTTTATTTTATATTATATTCTTATTTTATATTATTTTATTTTTATTATTTATCCTTCTATTCTTTAATCTGTTTTAACCTTTACCGTATTGTTTTGTTTTGTTTTGTTTTTGCTTAAATTCTGCATGGTTGCTGAAGCCTTATTTATTTTTATTTAATTTTTCACTTTGTTTTGTTTTTAGTTTTGTATACTATTTTATTTAGAATTTTTTTCCATCTATTCTCTAAACAGTTTAACTGCTGCAGTGTTAAAAACATTTTATTTACAATAAATATAAATGTTTGCCTTTTTTGCGTTTCTCAGCCAGAAGTAAGTGATGAGCACACCCCAAAGCGTCTTCAGACTGTCTGGCCTCCCCCAAAACCTAAAGACGAGGAAGAAAAGATTGGTCTCAAATACACAGAGGCTGGTAAGGGATTATTATCGTATAATTGGAAGCAACAGCAATAAATGTAAATGTTTGCTCAGATTCCATTATTTGCATTTGGATCTGGTGACACAACACTGTCCAAACAAATTCCAGTACACCTCCACCCTAAATGTGTTTCTAAAGGGCAGATCTGCAGATAACTTACTTTACATTCAATGTATCAGCAATGCAGGCAATAAACTGGCAGCACTGAAAACTACATATAGATTTACAATCAGTCCTACAGTTTTGGAATTGACCATTAGTTACATTGTCTATATTACAGTGTCTTGTAGATTTAAAGGGTGTGTAGTCCGTAAACACAACTAAGCATATTTGTTGTCATGTGCCTTGATAAATTAGATTAAAGTAGGGGTTATCACCACTGCCATGTATTGGAAACTTTTGTCAAATTAAATGCAAATTCAATCCTTTACACATGACTATTCAAATGTCATTGATGTTTAAAGCAATTAGTCCCTTTATTAACAATGCATTAAATTAATTATTTGCATTATAGACGTTTATATCACATATTTCTATTTAGAAATGGGTAAAAATGGTTACATTAGTTAATGTTAGTTAATGCATTTACTTACATGATCAAGCAAAGAACAATAAGTCTGATTTCAGTAGTTATTCTTTTTTGTTAACATTATTTAATGTAAAAAATAATTTATTCTTAGTTTATGTTAACTCACAAACATAACTTTGACATTTTAATAGCGCATTAGTAGACGTTGAACTATGACTGATAAATGGCGTACAAGAATGGGTTTTCTTAGCTCATGTTTGTAAATAAATTAACTAACATTAACTAGATAATTAATTAACTTTAATTAATGGAATGGGCGATTAGGTTGTGCAGTGGGTTCGCCTCACTGCAAGAAGGTTACTGATTCGAGCCTTAGCTGGGTCAGTTAGCATTTCTGTGTGGAGTTTGTATGTTCTCTCCGTGTTCGCGTGGGTTTCCTCCCGGTGATCCGGTTTCCCCCAAAAGTACAAAGACGTGCTATGGATGAATTGGGTAAACTAAACTGGCCGTAGTTTATGTGGGTGATTGAGTGTATATGAGTGTTTCCCAGTAATGGGTTGCAGTTGGAAGGACATCGGCTGCGTGTGCTGGATAAGCTGGTGGTATATTCCGCTGTGACGACCCCAGATTAATCACGGACTAAGCCATAAAGAAAATGAATGAAATTAATGAATAATTAATGGAACCTTATAAAGCAATGAAAGCTTATAAAGTTTGACCAAAAAATGCTATACTTTTTAAGTACACTGTAAAAAATACTGGGTTCCACACACTCACTTCATCTCATCTAAACGCAATTCGATTAAGTTAACTTAATGTTTATTTAAGATGATTGAACATAAAACAATTATGTTGTCCCTAAAAAAAAACTTAAGAACTGTGTTGCTTCAGCTCATTCTGCTAAATTAAAACTTTATGCAGATCAGTCTAACAAGAAACATATTTTTAAATGTATTTTTCATAATTTCATTATGTATGTATTTGTTTGTTTAAATGCAAGTATGGATTAATTATTTGTACATAGATTTTGCATAATACATGTTTTTTACATCATTTTATATATAAATATTATCCTCTGGAGCTGTAGTTACAAACATAGTTCTTGGCTGTGTTCTCTTCCCAGTTATCCCCCATTTATGCCCTATTCACTTAGAACATTCTGACATATAAAATTTGAATGATTTGTTTAAAGCATTAAAGACATCAAACTAGGTGTAATTTGCTTTCAAAGCATTTTAAAAGTTAATTTTTAGAGATCTTCATGTTTACAATTGCGCTCCCTTCGGTGGCTCTCGAGAAAAGCTACAGGTGACCTATTATTTAAAAGCTGAATTTACGTTACTTCTCCAAAGCTTGTGAAAATAAAAAATAAAGCAAACGTTAATGGCTTAAATTTATAGTAGGTTATTTATCAAGCATCTTTACTGTATATGACATGGGCCTGAAGGTTGGAACATTTCTGCAGTGGTTTGCATGTCAAATAGTAAAAGTAGACTTTAAAAAAAAAATAATAAACAATATCCTACTTAATAATAATAATAATAATTGTCATCATCATCATCATCAATAATATTATTATTAAAGTATGTTTTTTTCATTTCCCAAATAAATAAATATTAAATTTCATTTCTTCAATAGCCTCATTATTTATTCATATGATTTATATATGATAATAGAATATGTGTTTTTGTAAGTGATTTTATGTTATTTTAGAATAAAATATGGAATATTCTCAATAATATTTGTAAAGGAAACACAGACCATGGCCCTATATATTTACATATATTTCAAATAATATGGAAAGTGATGTTTCCAGCATGTTTTTACTAAAACTAATACTGGATTATTTTTAATTGCGTGTGTGAATAAAAAAAAATATAGAATTTGCACAAAGAAATTATGGGGTTCTTCTCTAAAGAAGTTACTCCACTCCATTAAGAGCATCCTTATGAGCGTTTTGTCACTACATCGTTCTTTTCCCAAACGATGCATTGTACTATGATAGTTCAGCCGTGAGTTGCATCGTTGTTTTAAAACGCACCCCTGATCTGTTCTCTGATCTGTTTTCAGAGCATCAGGCAGCGCTTCTACAACTAAAAAGAGAATGTAACGAAGAGGTGGAGAAATTACAGGTGAGAAACTCCAGAAAATAACAATATAATTGAACTTTTTTTAGTTGACAAATATAAAGCATATATATTGTGGCCTTTTTGCATACAGTATAGCAGACACTATCCAAAATGTAACTTTTTACCAATTGATGTATTTTCTGGGAATGTATGTTTATATTTGTTGTTGTTTGTATGCTTTAATGCAGACTGACTTCAGACTTGAGCTCTTCCGCATACAAGAGAAGAATGAGCAGAATTTGTCCAGACTCAGCGCAACCATTGCAAGCTTACAAAGAGAGAGAGACAAAGTTCACCACAGAGAACACCAACATGTTGCTGTGTCCACCGAAGACGATATCAAAGCACGGGCCGTCCGATCGGTGTGCATTCAGACAGACAGAGAGACATCCATCAACTCTGAGGAGGCCAAAGAAACCCACAGCAACAGTCTTGACCCCCTGTTTAAAAATGGTGACCTAAACAACTCAACCAAAAACTTGACTGGCAAACAAAAGACAGTCCCTCCTCCATCAGCTCATCCGCCTCCATCACCTCAGTTACAGTTGGAAAGCAGTAAGATCACACCTCCAACTCCACCTCCTCTGCCTGGTCCTTGTACTCCTAATATACCTCTTGCTCAGCCACCGAATAAGCATGTGAATGTGCCTCCTCCACCTCCTCCTCCTCCGCCTCCTCCCATGACAGGGTCTGGTCTTCCACCACCACCACCACCACCTCCACCTATGACAGGGTCTGGTCTTCCACCACCACCTCTACCACCTCCACCTATGACAGGGTCTGATCTTCCACCACCACCACCACCACTACCACCTCCAAATATGACAGGGTCTGGTCTTCCACCACCACCTCCACCTATGACAGGGTCTGGTTTTCCACCACCACCACCTCCGCCGATGCTCCACTCTATCCCTCCTCCACCCCCTGGATTTGGCTTCTTCTCTAAAACAGCGGACACATCTCCTCGTAAGCCATCAGTGGAGCCGGTCTGTGCAATGAAACCGCTGTACTGGACACGAATACAGATTCAAGAATGCAGGTATCTCTCATCACATTATCTCACTTTTTGGTTGGCATTCGTTATTTGGTAATATTTCTACATTAAAATGTATTTGTGAAGGGATTGTGAATTGTGAATTTCTTAAGGGATTTCTTAAAGTAAACAAAATAAATGTCAGGGCATCATTAATAACAATTATAACTTAAAAGATATTCTAAAGAATAAGGGGAACCAAACAAGATTAAGGGCTTTCATACTGGATATTTTTACAGTTCCCATAACTATGGGCAGAAGTATCCGTTTTTTTGGCATGGTGACTTTGGCACGGTGAAATTCTTAGTCATTAATTTTACACAGAGAGTCTCAAAATCCTTTTGTAAGAGGAACTACTTTCTTCTTCCATTCATTCACATTTGCAGCTGATGTCAGAATAGCAGGAACCATTGCTACTTCACCAACGTCACTTTAGAGCTAGCATTTGAATGATTCATAGTGTAACGTCTAAAGTTATGTCAAAATAGGTGACTTTTGCTTACATTTTAGGGTTATAAGGCTGAACAGCATGAAATTCTATCAGTATCTCTCCGCAAATTTTCTTCTTTCTTTCTTTTATTGAACTAGTCTGCAGTAGCAAAAAGGAGACTCATTAGAAACAAATGACAAACTCTGGTTTTAAGACAAAGATGAGTTCCATCTCACACTTAACACATGACAACTAGTATGGTAAAAATACAGCAGTACAACATACAAAAGAGAGAGAACAATTTAGAAAGTCACTTAGCAGTTTTAAAAATATTTGATCAGCTGAAGTTTAAAATTACTCTGGGTTTTTCCTCTCCTGTTAGGGCTTATTATGTAGTCTTCGTCACCATCTTGTGAATTCGTCAACCGTCTTTGGTCTGCTCAACGACAGGCTGATGGTCGAAGACGGGCTGTCTCTTAGAAATTATAAATATTTAAAAATAGGCACTATCCTTATAAATAAACTGCATAGTTGCAATCTAAACAACTACATTCTTCACTAAAAAAGCCTCAAAAGTACATTATGTTGTCCAACAGCTGCAATATTTGTTAAACTATAGAGTGTCCTCTGCTTGTTGCTGTATGTGGGTATAAAAGGGTGAAGAAGCTGGACGAATCAGTTACTTGCAGAATATCGCACAGCTATCAGCCAATCAGATTCAAGATCCAGACTGAACTGTTAATATATATATAGGCGAGGCAGTGGCGCAGTAGGCAGTGCTGTCGCCTCACAGCAAGAAGGTCGCTGGTTCGAACCTCGGCTCAGTTGGCGTTCCTGTGTGGAGTTTGCATGTTCTCCCTGCCTTAGATTTATTTGTGACTTTGGACCATAAAACCAGTCATAAGGGTCAAATAGACGAATCAGAAAAAAAAAAACTATTTAAAAATCTGGAATCTAAGAGTTCAAAATTTTTCAATATTGAGAAAATCGGCTTTAAAGTTTTCCAAACAAAGGTCTTAGTCAGGGGTGCCCTCGGTCCTGGAGGGCCAGTGTCCTGCTAAGTTTAGATCCAACCCCAATCAGACACACCTGATCGAATCAAGCTCTTACTAGGCTTTCTAGAAACATCCTTGCAGGTGTGTTGAGGCAAGTTGGAGATCAAATCTGCAGGACACCGGCCCTCCGAGTTTGGACACCCCTGGTCTTAGTGATACATATTACTAATGAAAAACTAGGTTTTGAAATGCTTACAGCATGAAAATGTCTTACTAAATGTCTTAATAGAAAAAAGAATTACTTAAATTATTAAAATTTATATTTTGGCATAAAAGAAAAATGTATTATTTGGACATTTCTTATTTTAATTTTTTTTTTTTAAGTTTAAAGTAATCCTTATCCCTCATTACCTGCATTTATTCTTTAATATAAACAGCATTTCCTCTGTTTATCACTCACAACATTCCTCAAACACACAATATACATCTACAAGTGATGCTGACATTTTCAACTTACCCTCATTAGACCTCATGGGAAGTTTAAAAGACCAACCGCTGCAGACATTTGTCTGCATGAGGGGCAGCCACAGTCTTTCCAGGACCTCTAGTGGCGGTGTGGATTTCTGTGGGATTCGGCTGCCCGGCCACCTCCGTGCTGCTGCAATGTTATTTGACTCCTCATGAAAGCTTTCTGCTCTCTCCCGGAGCATTTTGTCAAGCCAAAGCAGAACCCAGTCAAGCTTAGCTGTGCGCCGTCGTCCTGGCTCCTTAATTATTTTTATGGGAGAGAAAATTTAGCAAGTCAGATTACTCACATTGAGCCCCTGTTGATTTTCCTTTTCCTGCTCATAGGCACGGTTGCCCAGCAACAGTTAATAACTCATGTAACTTGGGCTTTTACAGATGCCAGTATTTGAAAAGGTTTTCTATAAGTGTATGAGTGTGAAGGTTCAGTTTTGATAACCCTTAAAAAGAAAAGGTCGAATTTTCAAGAAACATAAAGTCTTTTGTTATCTGTGTTTTTTTAGGAACGATGTTCTGTGGAGTTCCCTGAAGGAGCCAGAGATAATAAACACCAATGAGTTTGCAGAACTGTTTGCTAAAGCCACATCGCCCACCAAAAGAAAGCCCCTATCTGATGCCTATGAGAAGAAAACCAAAGCCAGGAAGGTAGCACGCTTTCCTCAAGATCAGAAAATGGCATAATGCAGAGCAGGTCTTATCTAGAATGCCTGTGTCATTCACTATGTACATTTGTGTTGTTTTGCTCTCTAGATGACTTCTTGATGTAGTTCTTATATATAGCTACATAAAATGCTAGGTTGTTGGATTTGCTCACGTAATTAAAAAAACTGTCAATTCATAAATGTCTGATAAAATGCAGAAATGTGGGTTATGGTGACATTATTCTCTTTTCAATTCATTGAAACAATTTGTTGTTATAAGGAAACTTATCATCACTTGTAGGGGCACATTATCATTAACTCATTCTTTTATACTCGTGACTGTCTATCTGTTGTGTTTACATCAAAAAACAAAGTATTATCTACATCCAAATGAACAGTTTAAACATATGAGTTAATGAGTAAGATTTATTTAATGATAATGTGCCACTTCAAGTAAAGTCATGACATAACATATTTCATAAGTTATGTTGGTTACATTCATTCATTATTCATTCATTTTCTTATCGGCTTAGTCCCTTTTTAAATCTGGGGTCACCACAATGATGCTCTTCTAGCTGCAACCCATTACTGGGAAACACTCATACACACTCATTCACACACATACACTAAGGACAATTTTAGCTTACCCAATTCACCTATACTGCATGTCATTGGACTTGTGGTGGAAAACGGAGCACCTGGAGGAAACCCAGGTGAACACGGGGAGAACATGCAAACCAAACAGAAATGCCAACTGAGGCTTAAACCAGCAACCTTTTTGCTGTGAGGCAATCATGCCACCCACTTCGCCACCTTGACGCCTATGTTGGTTATATTTAGCTTTAAAAATGTTAATTAATACAATAATTAACAAAAATGTACTAAAACGTAATTCACACATTATTATTATTATTACACACATTATTATTTTCACACATAAACTTGTGACTCATGTTGTGGTTAAATTTGATTTTGATTAGTCTATGCCTTAAATCATTATTAGATCAAAATAAAGTAATGTTTAGTTTACATATTAGTACATCGTTATTTATGTATTAATGTAAAGTGTTAGCCAATTAACAATTTACCATGAATAACCCCCAAAAATACCAAGAATTATTATTTTATTTTCATAATAGATAAAAATAAAGCCCAAGGAAAATATGCCTTTCATTCTGAGTTCAATATGGGTTATTTTGCAGTGTAACTTTTTAAAAATAATTTTTAATTATTTGTTTTATTTATTTATTTATTCATTTATTTTAAAGTTGGCGGTTCATTCCGCTGTGGTGACCTCTGAAAAATTAGAGACTAACCTGAAGGAAAATGAATGAATGAATGAATGAATGAATGAATGAATAATGTCAGTTTAACCCATAATATAAAATACCATAAGCATGACAAGAAAAAGGTGTCTCTTTCTCAAACAATGGAAAATCAACAATGAATTTATAATAAATAAACATGTTTTATTTTAACTAAACCATGATTGTCACAAATTAACCATAATTATGCTAGACTAACCACAGTTATCCATGCTTGTGGTATAACCGCTATACAAATAGTGATCAACACACCAAAAACAAAAGAAAATAATTCACAGTTACTACATTTTGTGCAATAATAAAGCTATGGTTAATTTTCGTATGGGATTACATGAGACTAGATCAGTGGTTCCCAAAGTGGGGGTCGAGACACCAACAGGGTGACGCTTGGTGGTTTCCAAAAGACAAATAAATTTCGTTCAACTATTAGAATTACATTATTTTATCCATAACACACAGAAGATAGTAGTTACTAGTTACATATAAAAAAAATGTAAATGAAAAGCCATCAGCCTCAATTATTTTTTTGAACAGGATTGGTGTGTTTACGTTGGATTAACAACACAGCAGTAGTGTCAGCTGCAGCAGATTGATTTTAAAAGACCAGGTTAGGCTTTCTAACACCCTAACGACAATCAAATACATTAAAAATAAATACAGGCCACAACTTAACATTGATAATGATCTCTGAGTCTCTAAAATTAAACCAAGAATAGACTTGTGCTGAAAACATTGTGCCCACCATAGTCTCATTAGGTGAGGTAAATATTAAAGTAAACTATTTATTAAATTACAATACAAACTATATGGTTGTTAGACTGTTGCACCTTTTTGTGCTGTCAATATTCTTGTGTGTTTATATAGGCTTGTTGTTGTTTGCCCAAAAGTTTGGGAACCCCTAGACTAGATTACCTTTTTGTTTATCAAACCATAAAGTTTGTAAGCTACATATCTGAGAAGTGTCCACAAGGTGGAGCAGTTTACAACACTTCTAAAAGAAGTGACTTGAATGGCTAACTGATGCCTTCATTCGATCGCTTGATCTAATTGCTTTACTATAAACAGAAACGTCATTCATCTGGAGCTGTCACTTCAAAGAATCGGCAATAATTTGACGCAAATGCTTTTGCGTAATATCCTGATCCCACAAATGCCTATACAATTGCCTTTGAAATTGATATAATTATAAAAGAAATGAGGATGATTGGAAATAAATGAACCTGTTTATGAAATGTGATCGTGCCATTGTTACCTTTGGCAGGGAGATTTTATTATAGAAGTTTGGAGTTTCCCAATTGTTCTTTTGTTATTGGTTCGTTCCACTTTTGCATAATAAAATGAGAGTCTTCGTGTTCATTTGGAGAGTAAGCAGAATGGGCTTAAATTATGATCCATGTTATTTAGAAATGCCTTTCTGTGGTTATATAAAGTATATATTTATATATATATATATATATATATATATATATATATATATATATATATATATATATATATATATATATATATATATATATATATATATATATATAACCACAGAAATAGGGGGGGTTTATTTAATAGGGGGGGTTATTTAGAAATGCCTTTCTGTGGTTATATAAAGTATATATTTTTATATATATATATATATATATATATATATATATATATATATATATATATATATAACCACAGAAATAGGGGGGGTTTGCTTGTTTTTCACTGTTGAACTTTTTCAGGTCATTAAATTACTGGATGGCAAGCGCTCTCAGGCTGTGGGCATCTTAATCTCAAGTCTCCACCTGGAGATGAAGGACATCCAGCAAGGTAAATCACACCTAAAAGCCATATGATGAAAAATACACAACCACCAGCTCAGCAGATTTATTTTTTTCTGGCCAGACTTATTTTTCCTCTACTAATAATAAACAGACATGTTAAAATGATACATATTTGTGTGGCCTGGATGTAGCAAAAGACATGCTGTTGAAATAATTCAGCATATAAAGACATATCTCGCATGTGTGATTGGCTCCAGCTCTTATTAAGGATAAATTGGCTGTATGTTTGTTAAATAAACTTGTCTTGTGGTTGACCACTAGAAATATTCTTTTGGGTTCTCCACATTATGGCATGTATATCAGTCCCACTTACTGAACGTGTACTTTTCACATTGCAAATCTTGAATTCATCACAGCTTGGCTTAACAGAGTCAGACAGGCAGATGTTTTTGATGATTTTTGTAAATTGTGCAGTGAATTCTTACAAGACGAAGCTCTCAAATGCGTAGTTGGAGACTTTTCCATTCACATATCGCTTGCATGACACGCGCATGTCCAAAAGCTAATCAGTCTAGAGTTAACTCTAATACTTCTTCTTTACACAGCTGTTTTGACTCTGGACGATACTGTGGTTGACTTGGATGCTATTGAAGCCCTGTATGAAAATGTAAGTATACTGACACTGAACCTAAGCCTCCTAAACAACAGATTTGAGTATTTGAACATGTATTGTTCAAAAACATTGTGAACCCCTTTGATTTGTCAATAAATAATTAAATGTATAAAGAAATTTTAAAAATGCAGATGAAAATACAGGCCCATAGCCAATCTTCAATGACAAAGGTTCAGAATTTGTCCCATACATGAGCTTATTTGTCCTATTTTATATGTCATCATAAATTGTGAAAATAACCCATCGAAAAAGCTTTAAGACCAAGCCACATGACCATCACATCAGTGTGGCTTATCAGTTTTGGCCAGTGCTAACTATTATTAGTCATGAGTCTAACATCCACCTGTGACAGAAAACACACAATCGGATGCAAGTCAAGTCATCTTACGCTATTGTGTTGTTTTTCAATAGAGAAAACATTTTACAAGGAACTCTTGTTCTAAATTCTTTCATATCACATTTTACCTGTTTTTATGTTTTGTTTTGTTTTTATGCATTTTTATTATTTGTTTTTATTTTTATTTTACTTGTTTCTTTTATTCTTGTTTATGTAAAGCACTTTGAATTGCCATTGTGTATGAAATGTGCTATATAAATAAACTTGCCTTGCCTTGCCTTAAATCTTGGACATTTTTCTTGAAAAAAATGAGCAATAAAAAGGTGTGAAGCACCAAAAGAGGCCCATATTAAAATTAATTTGATTACTACTTTGGCTATTGTTGCTATCCATTTATTATCAATCAAATGTACTTTTTTTACAAGATTAGACAAAATCATATTAGACAAATCATGAAGTTCTTTTATTATTATTATGCATGGATTTTTATTATTCAAATTGCCAAATTCTGACTGAGAAAAGTTGAATGTGCTGGCCAGTTTGTTGTTTGCCTAATAAATGACAATTTATTAGATTCCTACTTTTTTTTAATGATGTAATCTGATGCAATACATTTTTATTTTTTAAAAAAAAGAATTCTAAATCTTTAGGAAATATTTTGCTACATTAAAAAGTGTGGTTATGATAACCATAGGACAAGCTAATCCAGCTAAAAATAGTGCTTTATGTTTCACTAAAATACAGAATTCAAACCTCATAAATAAATAATACATTAGGCTAATAACTGCAAAATGGTCTATATTTTGAAAAAAAAAGAATCACCTCTTACAAGAGGCTGGCTAAAGGCATAAACACATGAATAAATGTACAAAGAAAAGTAAATACTTTATACTTTGTAAAAAAAAGTTTAAAATAATGAATACTTTTATCAAAATTAATAAAAGTAATAAAATAATATAAATAAATTAATTAAATAATAAATAGTTTTAATAAATAAAATTATTTATTAAAATTATTGAAACACTATTATATTTTTTTATATTTCCTGAGACTCTTGTGATGAAAGTAAATGAGACTAGATTTAAGGATTTTAAAGCAGAAGTGTGGAGATTAAAATTTTATATAAATAACTTTATTGTTATCCATCATTTGAGCTATAAAGCTGCTTTAATATGTGGTTGGTTGTATAGATGTAGAAGTTGGAAACTACTTATGTAACCATGTGTCCTTCTGCACCCAAGCCGGTCTGAGCTGGGATCAAACCAGCGATTTTTTTGTATGGGAGTCAGTTGCTCTATGGAGGCTAAAGACCATGGCCTCTAGTGTCTGTCGCTAGAGCACCTTTACGCTGCGTTCACACCAGACCCGGAAGCGTCAAGCGCAAGTGATTTACATGTTAAGTCAATGCAAAGATGCGAAAAGACATCCTGCGGTGCGAATGAGGAGGCGCGATATAACGTGATTTGTGCGAATGAAGTAACGCAAGTTGAGCGTTTTGCACAAATCGCTTGAATTGGAAAGTCTGAACTTTAGCGGACATTCGAGCTGCTTTAACCAATCAGCAGCTTTCTCAAGTAATGGTGTGCTTGTGAGGTAGAGCCTGTTGTTGGTGTCTCAGGGGAAAAATCTTTCTGCCGACACCGTACAACAGTTGATCAAGCTGGGCTAGGCTCAGTCAGAAGCACCGCTGCAAGCTTCCATCATCCAGGTAAAGTTTTTGAAGGAGATTATGAGCTCACAAAGCTGGGTGCACATCTGAAAGGATCTAGTGCACTCAGACACGGCTCCAAATGGATCTACGCTGTTTTTCAGCCTTCATAAAGCACAAAAACACAGTTATTTTCTCAATAAAATCAATAAAATAAAATGTTAGCCATTTAGCAACAAAGCTACAGTCATCGGGCAGACAGAAGCCCTGCCCATGACGCAAATCCTTGTCTATTGCTTAGTGAATTTGACGCATGAATGAAGCGAGTAAACTCAAAATGTTCACGCATCTATTTACATGAGAGCAGCGCGATTTAGCCGTGTGTACAGCATCTGATGTGAATACCTGCATAGCACTTTGCTAGCTGGCCTCCGTTACACTCAACCCCCTAAACCTCACTCCCATCTCGGATGATCCCCCACATGTAACCCACCGGTCCTACTGCACCCAACCCGGTCTAGGCTGGGACTGAACTGGTGACTTTTCGCATGGGGTTCGGTTGCTCTAACAAGGAGGATATTGGCCATGGCCTCTAATGTTTGTCGCTAGAGCACCTTTAGAGGTCAGAGGAGTGAGGTTTACCTGCATAGCACTTTGCTAGCTGGCCTCTATTACACTAAGTTTTAAGGTTTTTTAAGTTTTAATAACTAAGCCTTTATTCCACACAGAATCATAGTAATTCACATTTTGTTTATATTTTATAGCTATATAGTATTACAATTATTTTAAGAGGATTTTAATGTTCACTTAACATACACTTTCATTGTAAATGTCTCATTATTCCAAATAATTTTGCTCCTTTTTAAAAAAAGGAGATTAAATTAAGCTTAAATTGTACTGAAAATGGATGTATCATTTAAATATTCATAGATCACTAAAGGCCCACTCACACCATAATGATAAGCTTTTAATTAAAAATACATATAAAGTAATAACAGATTTAGTCCCCATCACAGTTATTACAATAACGGAAAGAAACAATATTCCTTGGAATCACTTTTTTTGTGTGCTTTGAGAAGTAAACAAAATTATCCACTGATATGGCCACTAAGTTTCCTCCAGGTGCTCTGGTTTATCCCACAAGTCCAAAGACATGCGCTATAGGTGAATTGGGTAAACGAAATTGTCAATAGTGCATGTGTGTGAATGAAAGTGTATGGGTGTTTCCCAGTGATGGGCTGCAGCTGGAAGGGCATTTGCTGTGTAAAACATGTGCTGGATAAGTTGGCGGTTCATTCCCCTTTGGCGACCCCAGATTAATAAAGGGACTAAGCCGAAAAGAAAATGAATGAATGAATGAATATGGCCACTAATATAGTTATTATTATATATTGTATATTGATCTATACTGCTTTCATGTTGTGAAAGAGCCTGAAGACTTGATTTAAAGCATTCTACTTTTCTAAATCCATTTTCGAACACATTTCTCCAAAAAATCGCTTCAGAAAATGAACACAACAGCCTGCACATTCTGTATCACCATTTTTTCTGTATAGTTTCAGTTCCAACATATAAATAATTGATAGCTCCCGTGTGGTTTCATAAGTTTACATGTGTTTCATTGGTCAGTTGTTACATGATTGCGTCTGTTCTGTTTCTCCCAGAGAGCCCAGCCTGAGGAGTTAGAGAAGATTAAGAAACACTACGAAACCTCAGACGAAGAGCAGGTCAAACTACTGGACAAGCCTGAACAGTGAGAAACTCCAGAAACACGCCAGATAACTCACTTTTTCATGCAACCAGCCACTAGTGATACATCAGTTGTCACTTACAAGGGCACTTTTTATAGGCCCTATGCAATGCCTAGTTCTCTTCAGTTCCTTCATTTAAGGACAGACGAAGACAGAGTAGAGTTTTCAACACAACGCACTTAAGGCTGACAGATGTTCATTGCTTTCCCTTGACAGGTTTCTGTATGAACTCTCCCAGATTCCAGAGTTCTCCAGTCGAGTTCACTGTTTCATTTTTCAGACCAAGTTCACTGACGCCGTCGCCTCCATACAGCGCAAGACCGAGATTATTCACCACGTCTGCAAGGTACAAAGGCACTTTCAAAGGGTCAGACTTCAGATATTATCAAACATTTGATAAAGTATCAATGCTGGCATTCTTGAGTCTTTTAGGCAGCTGCCATTTATTCAAGCCAGGTCCAAAGGCCCGTTCGCACCAAGCACAATAACTATGCAGATAACCATAAAAATAGAGTTCAAAACATTGTTCTGAAAGTAAAACAACAGCAAAGTTCAGACTACAACGATAACAATAAAGATGTAGGGGGAAAATGTGTATGTGTATGGGGGGAGGGGTAGTTTGGTTTTATTTTACTACACAGACTATGGTTGGTAAATTCATTTGGTTAGATTAATACATTATCAAATAAAGATTCACTGCTTAGCTTCGTACTAGAACACTGAGGACAGAAGAACTCTTCTCTTTAAATCTTTTGCTCTGATCTGTATCTTAAATAATATTAATAGTTAAAATATTCAAGTGTAAATACATTTTTGACCACCCCATAATGCTTCATGCCATTTTCGATGCATAATCACACCAATTAGTCTATGCGAGAAGTCATTCCACAGTCTAAAACTGCAGATCAAGAGGACCAAAAGACTTTTTTTCCTGTAAAATGTGTTTGTATCTACATCCTAAAAGTAAAGTAAAAAGCATAGTTTCTATAATTTGACCAACAGTAACCTCTAAAATATCTAATCAAAGGTGAATATACTAACCATGCCTAAAAACACTGAAACTTCAATAGGTTTTAATAATATATTAGATGTCATTTAAATAAATTCATAAATTTCATTGAAGCATGTTTTACAGAATCCAACACAAAGGTCCCCCAACCCCCAACATCAATGTGTAATTCGCACCCTGAGTGTAGTGTTAGTTCAGGTGGAGAGTCAATCTTGCATCAGCTGACAGTCAGCTGTTTATGACATGTGACATCTGTCACAGCGGTCTATTTAAATCAGGGGTACCCAAACTTTTTCCTACAAAGGGCCAAAAAGCAAACTTGATTGAGTGTTGTGGGCCAAATATATATACCAAACTCGTATATATAAAATTTGCCATGGGTAATTTCCTAATTAATTTGGTAATGTTTAAAAATAACTTGAAAACGTTGCTTTAAATCACACACTGAAAAAATGACTTCTGCATAATCGTTGCAAACCATTTATATGGGTTAAGTTTAAACAAACAAATTAAATTTGGTTATATTTCAACTTAATTTGTTTGTTTAAATTCAGCCCAAATAAAGTGTTTACAACCCCTTTAAAAAATGTGTAAATCCAAAGAATGATCTTTGAATAATTTTTTTTCATTTTAATAATGAACTTATTACAGTAAAAGCATAAACAATCGCATATGGAGTTTGATGCGAAAAACACTAGTCGAGCTGCTCCCGCCTGTTCTTTGATTTGCTCGCAATGCATTGTCCTCTTTCTTTCAAGTGACAGTATTTACATTTAAAAAGTCTGACTTATTTACAACATTTAATTAAATCATTTAAGTTCAGTTGTTGTTGTTGTTGTTGTTGTTTTGTAGCTTGGTAATAAAACAAATAAACAAAAGGTTAAGTTAATTACAAAATGTCAATCTCTGTCTGAGGAATTCACCCCCACCACCTCCCCATCAACCACCAAATCAAAGGTTACCATAGGCCAACTTTGGCCCATGATCTCTACTTTGGGCATCTCTAGTTTTAATTATACATCTGGTCTGTCTTCAGTGTTTGGGTGCTCGCCAATTCTACACTCCCTCCACCATCCCCAACTCCTCCTAGGTCATTTCTGATATCAGTTCAAAGTATTAGCTTAGTACGTAGTAATTAGCCTCATGTGGCATTTACAATAACTCATAATCAATTGAAATTGTTCACGAACGCTCATGGATGGGTGCATGGAGTTATACCCAGAACAGATCCATACCAACACCAACTGCATGCTAGTATAACCATATATATTTGACAAAAGTGATCCTGACTGACATGAAACGTGATGAATGCAGAAACATCTTTTTGTGTGTGTGTGTTTTTAGTTTCTGTTGGAGAAAGACAGCACAAGGGAGGTGATGGGATTGGTTCTTGCTCTGGGAAACTATATGAATGGAGGCAGTCGAGCTCGAGGACAGGCCGACGGCTTCGGTCTTGAGATTCTTCCCAAGCTTAAAGATGTCAAGAGCAGGGTAAATTTTGCTCTGTTTCATGAAGATACTACACAGGTGTTTGATAGGGCCTCCCCGTGATTTGTTTTGTTACCAGTTTTGACTTGATTCTTTATTAATCAACAGGAAAATCACATTAGTCTGTTGGACTACATTGTGTCCTACTATCTGCATCACCTTGACAAGGTAAAACATGGATGTGTTTCCTTTCACATGCACAAATCTTTCACATTTTTTAACACAACAGATTTATGGAAAATTCAATAAAATTAAAAAAAATCAATTAGTGGAAAAACAAATGTAATTTAATTTTAGTTTCAGTTATGTGACACTGACTGTAATCTTATGTAGTAATTTGTTAATTGATACATGAAAAATCTCTATGCATCTCATCTCATATATGATGAAGTGTTAAAATTTCAAAATTAGAATTAAAGGTCATTTGGTGGGCATAAACAGAAATAAAATGTTAAATGAAAATAAGTTGCCTCATGTCACATTTAGTCATTATATTTACTATAAAAAAGGTATTAAAACTTTTCAAAACCTATGAATAAAAATACACTATTTTTTTAACTTTGAGGTTTCTAATTAATCATTTCGTACAATAAACAATTAATTAAATAGATCAAATATGACATTAAATATATTTAGAATGTTAAATAAATGATATTCTCTTTTTTAATTAACTTTTTGTTCATCAAAAAAATCCAGAAAAAAAAAAACTGTGATTTTTACATTGTGTTTTGTGCACACCAAATGAGCAATCAGAGCGATGTTGGAAATTCAATATGTTTCAATTTAAAACAAATGTATGTTTTAATATTATTTTACAATATTCTGTTTTTTATTAAATACATGCAATCTCTTGGTGAGCACACTTTAAAAGGATATTAGTTGCTTTACTTAAATGTGAATAAACCCATTAATACTTCGAACTGTTGAGTTGACTTAATTTTTTGAATTATGCACATAGTTCATTTATTTTAAAAAAAGTAAGTAAATAAACAATGTGCAACTGGTTTACTTTTTTTAAAGTAATTATTTTTAAAAGTAGAATGAACTAACCAGTATTTGCAGTACACAAGACTATAGAGTATAGAGTACACTAAAAAAGTTTTAGTCTTGATTTTACTCAAAAAAAAAGACTTTTTATGTCAACGGGTTCCATGTAACCGAGTTACTCCAAAGAAATAATATTTATTTTAGTGAACTTAAGTTAGTGACATAAATGTAATGTAATGTTGTTTAGTCCAATCAACATAACATTCATAATTTAGCTTTAATCTGTTTAGTTATTGAACTTATCTTCTTAAAGTCAAGTACTATTTTGGGCTTTCTGCCTGAATTTTGCTGACCCAAATTCAAATGCGTACCAAATCCACATGCAGAGGTGTAAATGCAAAAGTTTGGTTTCATTTTAAAGAAAACCCTTTGAATTTTCAGGAAACACTGTTGAAAGTGATTGTAATCATTGTAAATTTTGTCCGTGTTATAATAAACCTCTCAAAAAAGAGGCGCTTTTTTGTTGTTGTAAACTTATATTTGAAAATGTATCTTTTAGGTTCCGTGTGGTCTAGGTTGCTGTAATTAATTTTGGTGGTTCCTACACATGTCAGTAATCAAAGGAAAAAAGAAAAATGTCTCTGTCATAATCTATAAAAAAGTTATTTTATTCCAACTGATGAGAGAACTGAACCACTTATTGGGGTATTGGGCCAGTATGGACCTTTAAAATTTAAAGAATGTGGAAGTAAATGACGTCACATACTCGGTACCAAGTACGTAGAATAATGTAGGATTAAATAACTAAATAGATTAAAGCTAAATTATCTTTTGATTTAATATGCAAACATAACTGAATTGTTTCATTTAAACATAGGAACATTCTTTAGACCAACTAAAGCTATAATCCATTTTTTGAGTGTTGTAAATCTTTTCATCCTCATGTCATCATACTCTTATATATTTCTTTATCCTCTCTTCAGAATGCTGGGACAGAAAAGAGCATCTTTCCCCTGCCTGAACCTCAAGATGTTTTCCTTTCCTCTCAAGTGAAGTTCGATGACCTCTCTAAGGACCTCAGGAAGCTGGGCAGAGACTTGACAGGTAAGAATTACCAAAAACACTCTCAAGGGCTTCGAAACCGATTTCAGCGTGCCACTGATTTACTGAGGCATCAAAAGAAGCGAGATTACATGGGTTCGGCAGGATGGATGACCGCAGCCCTGCAACATGGCTCCAGCTGAATCCTGAGGACTTTACAGCATCTGTTAGCAACAACTCATTATTAAACCACATTAGATCAGGTGGAATATACGGACGTGGTTTTTTTTTTTTTTTGCGTATGTATATTTGCGCACGCACAGATGCGGAGACGCAGTGGAGTCTGTGTGATTTGGCCCTGGCGCCTTTTAGATATGACTTTAATCCTGCCCATCAGATGCTCCAGGCATTGTGTGATTCTCCTGCTCTGTCGGAGGGGCCAAAGGCTGCAGTGCTTTGGCGCTTATGTAATCTGAGAGAAGAGCAGCTTATCGCTGGCGGGATGGGCTTTATCTGTGTAGAGATGCACCGCCGTTCTCCTGCTACACTGTATCAGTGCGTGTTCAGTGTGGCCCTGCAGATGTGTGCCCCAGATTCTTTTCTTTACCTCTCAACAAGCCTTTCTTATCGGGCGACGGAGAGACTGCCAAATCTGCCCCATCGCGCTCTCCCTTTTTTTGTGCTGCTGTTTGAACTCCCCTCATGACTGGGAGAGAATCATGTCTTTGTTTTTCAGGAGGGTTTTTATGCTGTGTTTGTCCGATTTCTTTTCTTTTACGACCCCACTGAGGTTTTGGCTGCTCAAGGTGACCACATTTGTCTGCGATGTAATTCCGCGGAGCAAGAAAGTGCTGCACTAATCAAATTAGTCACTGTATGCCTACACGGAAAGGGAATGTCCCTGTTATTTTATTTTCCAGAGACAATTATGACAGCACTTCTAATGCTTGGAGTCTCCACTGCTGATTCATCTGGCTTGCGTTTGAGACATCTTTTTGATCTCTTTGTGATCGTTGAGGCAGTGGTTTTGGCTCGCCGTTGAGGTGCACAGTCAAGAAAACCTTTATATAGCTCTGATACTCCCGGAAACAATGTATATGAGGATCTGACCGATCTAAATGAATCTTTCATGTGTAGAAATGCTGTGGAAAAGAGTCTCTGCTACTTCATTGGCAGCTGTGTTCACAGTTTACACAAATGCTCAATGAAAACAGTAGTGTGTGTAGTGTTATCTGGAGGGAGATGCAGATGGAGTGTGTCCAACAGTGCCGGGTTCGCATCAGGGTGTATTATGACTGGGGCAGGAGACTGGCTCCTCTGATCTTCTGATTGGACGGCGAACAAACAGTGCAGCGTAGGTCCACGGGTGGTACAGGGACTATCTGAGGATGTGATCAGAGGTGCATCAAAACAGATCCGACCCAGAAAAAAGACATTTGATAACCTCTGACTCTGTCACAGGTGGAGCTTTAGTTCTGCTGTTTTCTTGCGGGTTAAGAACAAGTGCAAACAAAAGGAATTTAAAGGGGTAATTCACCTAAACTTGGAAATTTGAACAAGCTCAGAAGATAAATGCCTCAGATTGGTCGATGCATACATAAGCTTTACTGAGTGTGTGTGATCTGATGATGCACTGTATGCATATATTACATTATCTATATGTAATGCCGCAAGACTGACTCTTTTATTCATCCTTATATTTTGCGACAGAGATTATAGATTTAGGTGTCGATTTAGCACACATATCTTAAATTTGCTGGGCACTTTTGTTCATTTTAGTATCACTTTTTGCCCCAAGCCTCCATTCATTTTATAACTGATCTAGGTATAAAAAGTTTGGAAAAGTCAAGGTTTCATAACCGCCAATTTTTTTTGCTATACCATTCCTATAGTATGTGTAAGATTTTTTTATTTACATTTTTTGTTTGTTTTTTAGGATAACAGTTTCTCCAGCAGAAAAGATAATCAAATATGCCATTTTAAATTGTAAAGAAATAAGTCTTTTTGAAACAAATGAAGACAGCAGAAGTCAGTGACTCATTTAAATGAGTTAGCCTGATGTTTACTGCACCAAAATATGTTAAATGTTTCTCAAAATAAAGTATATTGTGTTCAAAGGGGAAAAAGTTTTTGTCTTTTACCCAGACATTTAAAAAACACATTCTAAAGCAGTAATCACAATACCATTAACCCGTGATATATATACACTTTACAATTCTAAAAGGTGTTTATAATTTTAGGAAATTCCCCCATTAACCACTCATAATCAAAATCACTTTACTGTACTCATTTTTTTACAGATGTAATCATTATTCACTGTGCTGATGTCATAATTAAGGCACTAACAGCATTGCTTTATCAGCAGGCTCTATCATCAGTGTGCAAGTCATCAGTACACAGTACTCATTCAACCACAACTACATTATGGTTGCTTTGCTGGTAAAAAAAATATGAAAAAAGGCCAATTTATGAATCACAATTTGGCCAGTGCCTAGTGATTTCTAAAATTTCCACATATATTTTTGTTTATATAAGTAATGTTGTGTAATTTATTTTAAAATATGTTTTAAAAGAAATTGTAACACTTACCAACACTGCATTCCCCTTGTTTAAAAATACAATTTAAAAAATAAATAAATACTGAGATGTGAGATTTAAAATTCATTCATTAATTTTTTTTCAGCTTAGTCCCTTAATTAATCAGGGGTCGTCACAGCGGAATGAACCACCAACTTATCCAGCACATTTTTACGCAGCAGATGCTCTTCTGGCTGCAACTCATCACTGGGAAACACCCATACACACTAATTAAAACACATACACTGAGGACAATTTAGCCTAACCAATTCACCAATACCACATGTCTTTGAACTGTGGGGGAAACCCGAGCACCCCGAGGAAACACAAGCGAACATGAGGAGAACATGCAAATTCCACACAGAAATGTTAACTGACCCAGCCGAGGCTTGGGCCAGCGACCTTATTACTGTGAGGTGACAATGCTACCCATTTTCCCCACTGCGCCGCCCCGAGATTTGAAATACAGATTTTAATATATTTTAATTTGTGATTATGATTCCAAAGCTCTTTTTTCAGCATCATGATACCCAAGACTCAAAAAAAAATTGTAATATGCTGAATTGTGTTTGCAAGAATGTTAAAGTGATCTAAGAGTTAAGCGGCTGAATATTCATGATTATAAATGTCTGTTCTGTGATTTTTGATCAATTTAATACATCCTACTGCTAAGTAAAAATATTAATTTATGTATAACACAAAATATACTGAAACTTTTAAAATGCATTTTAAAATTTTAATTAGTGTCACTAATAATTAGAATAATTAGAATCACCGGTCTTTATCACCTTCTATACTTGTGAAACAAAATATTGGTTTCTTAGCAATTGCATTCCACTATCCCTGCTCATATTTTCTAAAACAATAGCAGGTCATTTCCATTAATGCAATGCACACTCATCCGCCACTTTATTAGGTACACTTTACTAGTACCAGGTTGGACCCTCTATTGCCTTCAGAACTGCTTAAATCAGGGGTGTCCAAACTTTTTGTGCCGAGGGCCAGATGCAAAAAAACTAACGTTGTCGCGGGCCAAATTTTACATACATCACACAGACACGCACATATATATATATATATATATATATATATATATATATATATATATATAGTTGAAGTCAGAATTGTTAGCCCCCCTAAATTATTAGCCCCTGTTTATTTTTTCCCCAATTTCTGTTTAACGGAGAGAAGATTTTTTTCCCACACATTTCTAAACATATTAGTTTTAGTAACTCATTTCTAATAACTGATTTATTTTATCTTTGCCATAATGACAGTAAATAATATTTGACTAGATATTTTTAAGACACTTCTATACAGCTTAAAGTGACATTTAAAGGCTTAACTAGGTTAATCAAGTTAACTAGTCAAGTTAAGGTAATTAGGCAAGTTATTTTATAACAATGGTTTGTTCTGAAGACTTAAGGGGCTAATAATTTTGACCTTAAAATGGTTCATAAAAAAATTTAAACCGCTTTTTATTCTAGCCAAAATAAAACAAAAGTCTTTGTCCAAAAGAAAAAAATATTATCAGACATACTGTAAAAATGCCCTTGCTCTGTTAAACATCATTTGGGAAATATTTAAAAAAGAAGAAATAAATCAAAGAGGGGCTAATAATTCAGATTTCAACTGTGTGTAGACAGACAGACAGACAGACAGACAGACAGACAGACAGACAGACAGACAGACAGACAGACAGACAGACAGACAGACAGACAGACAGACAGATAGATAGATAGATAGATAGATAGATAGATAGATAGATAGATAGATAGATAGATAGATCATAACAAGAACTGCTGCTTAATTGAATGCATGTAATAGCGACACCCGGTGGTTATTTATTGAATTACGTTCATTTTTGTATAGCGGGCCAGATTCTATTGATATTTATAAAAAGCCTCGCGGGCCGCCACAAAACTGATTGCGGGCCGCAGATGGCCCGCGGGCCGTAGTTTGGACACGCCTGGCTTAAATCATTCATGGCATAGATTCAACAAGTTACTGGAAATATTCCTCAGAGATTTTGGTCCATATTGACATGATAGCATCACGCAGTTGCTACAGATTTGTCTGCTGCACATCCATGATGTGATTCTCCCGTTCCACCACATCCCAACGGTGCTCTATTGGATTGAGGAACTGATGACTGTGGAGGCCATTTGAGTACAGCAAACTCATTGTCATGTTCAAGAAATCAGTCTGAGAGGATTTACACTTTATGACATGGTACGTTATCCTGCTGGAACTAGCCATCAGAAGATGGGTATACTGTGGTCATAAAGGGATGGACATGGTCAGCAACAATACTTATATAGGCTGTGGTGTTGACACGATGCTCAATTGGTACTAATATGCCAAAAGTGTGCCAAGAAAATATCCTACACCCCATTACACCACCACCAGCAGCCTGAACAGTTGATACAAGGCAGGATGTTTCCATGCTTTTTATGTTGTTGACACCAAATTTTGACCCTACCATCCGAATGTTGTAGCAAAAAATTGAGACTCATCAGACCAGGCAATGTTTTTCCAATCTTCTATTGTCCAATTGTGGTGAGCCTGTGCCAATTGTAGCCTCCGTTTATTGTTCTTAGCTGACAGGAGTGGCACCCAGTGTGGTCTTCTGCTGCTGTAGCCCATCCACCTCAAGATTGGACGTGTTGTGGTTTCAGAGATGCTCTTCTGTATGCCTTGGTTGTAACGAGTGGTTATTTGAGTTACTGTTGCCTTTCTATCAGCTCGAATCAGTCAGGACATTGTCCCCTGACCTCTGGCATCAACAAGGCATTTGCACCAACAGAACTGCTACTTACAGGTTATTTTCTCTTTTTCGGACCATTCTTTTTAAAGTTTAAAGATGGTTGTGCATGAATATCCCAGTAGATAAGCAGTTTCTGAAATACTTTGACCAGCCCATCTGGCACCAACAACCATGCCATGTTCAAAGTCACTTAAATCACCTTTCTTCTCCATTTTGATACTCGGTTTGAACTGCAGCAGATCGTCTTGACCATGTCTACATGCCAAAATGCATTAAGTTGCTGCAATGTGATTGGCTGATTAGAAATTAGCGTTAACGAGCAGTTGGACAGGTGTACCTAATAAAGTGGCTGGTGAGTGTACATGTACACTTATTTACTATAAATCCACTTAGTAAGAAAACATATGCATTGAAAATTCTACAAGCTTCAGTGTGGCATTTATTATTTAAGATTTTGGAATAAAAAACGCTCATGGTGGTCTAACATTAAAATGTCAGACTGTTCAATTTTGGATAACATATGGTGTTAAAGATTATTTTACAATGACTGGCCTCTGTGAGTTGGACCCAGTCAGGGACTTTACTCTGACCCAATGTTATTGTTTTTGTCTCGTACAGTTTGCGAAAAGGACGTCCTAACTGTGTGTACCAACTCGTCTCAAGAGCACATTCATCCCTTCCAGGAGAAAATGGACTTTTTCATTGCCAGCGGTGAGTTATGTTATAATGCCAGAGATTATCCCGCATTACCTTTCAGAAGAGGATCTTTATTCAGAGTTTTTAAGTCTTGTATTTATGGGCTCTGTCACATCGGCCAATCCCTCACGTCTACCCTGTTCAGATATGAAGTTTAGTTGGTCTCTGAGACAATCCGTCTCTCTAGATGATTGATGGAGAGCAGCACAAAAGTTTGTTTAGATGGTACGCAGGATTGTTTTGTTGTGCAGATCGTATGCAAAGATGTAAACTGATTGTCGTTTACTATAGACGACGGCAGCTATGGTAGACAAACATGTTTTATTCTGTTTGTAGTTTATGTAGAATATAACGGCAAGTGTAAACCAAAGCTTCTCTTTTCTTCGCATTCTTCCTACTACAACCATTTGATTGTCTCGACTGCGCTGATAAGAAGGCACACATCCTGCAGTCATGAAGAATATCTGCTGTGTGCCCTTTTGGGCACCTGATAAGCGTCTGTGACTGATACCTGAAGACCGATACAGAGATTGGAATCAGGGAGACTTTGGCAATGAAGGAGACTTGTCAGTATAGGAGAAACTACAATTTTGACATTTTCTCAGAAGTAAAAGGCTGGGAATTTGGCGCAATATTTGTTTTGGTAGTGTGACTGGTATATGAAAAGCCCTGTTTTTACCTACACTCAAAAACATTTTTGCTGCTTGTTTTAACTACTTATTTAAAATGAGCTGAAATTCTTGAGTTTTCTGTTTTTTAAGGGGGCAGCTTAAATGTTTTATGTTCAATCAACTTAAATTTGTTAAAACAATTAAGTTAACCTTCTCAATTTAAGACATGAAAGAATTGTGTGAAATCCAGCTTTTTTACAGTGTAGTATTCTCTTGTATTTCCTGTGTGACCCGATGAAGCCCATGTAGGTTGAAACGTTGTCCTATTTAATTTGATTTTTTCTTTTGACTTTTTTTATTGTGTTTGGCTTGATCGAGCACCTGCCTTCAAAAATTTCCTAGATGTGAGCACACTGATGTTTTTCTTGCTATACTGTATATTGTTACCAATTATTTTTAGTCATTAAGGCTCATTTGAGACCCATTACTCTTTCCACTAGATATTATTAACATAATCTTATCTATGCATCTCCGTGGTTAGGATTTAGTCGAGGTCTTTCACATTTATTTCATCACTGTCTATATTAGTTTAGTGGGAGCACTCGGCAGCATATTTTCAATTAAAGTTGAGAACATAACATTATGTGCAAAATTAAAGTTTTGCATAAAACATTTGTGAATAAAGCACTGTCTCCATCCAATGTGTTCGAGAGAACAAAATGGTCACTTCCTGATAAGCTGGCATATTAAGAATAATTATAATAAAAAAATTCACAATCCCCTTATGAAAATTGAACCATGGTTTGTTTGAAGAGCTCAGATGCAAAAACCTCTAGGTGCCATCTAAACTTTTCTTCTAAAATGAGCATTTTCACAGTCTCCTTTGTTTTTGTTCAGCTATTTCTCTTAAAAAGTGATGAAAAGAACCAATAAAATTTGATTTACTGTACATAAAAATAGGAGCCAGGAAAAAAAATGCTCATTTAGAAGAAAGTTTCAGATGGCACTTGGAGGTTTTTGCATATCTACAGTGCATCTGGAAAGTTTTCATTCATAGAGCTTCACTTTTCCACATTGTTTTTTCGTAATAGCCTTAATCCAAAATGGATTAAACTAATTTATTTTCTCAAAATTCTACACACAACACCCCATAATGACAATGTGAAAAAAGATTTTTTAAATTGTTGCAAATTTATTACAAATAAAAAACCTGAAAAATCACATGTACATAAGTGTTCACAGCCTTTGCTCAATACTTTGTTGATGCACCTTTGGCGGCAATTACAGCCTCAAGTCTTTTTAAATATGATGCTACAAGCTTGGCACACCTGTCTTTGGGAATTTTTGCCCATTCCTCTTTTCAGTACCTCTCAAGCTCTATCAGGTTGGATGTGAAGCGACGGTGTACAGCCATTTCCAGATCTCTCCGAGATGTTCAATAGGATTTAGGTCTGGGCTAAGGGTGGGCCACTGAAGGGCATTCACAGAGTTGTTGTGAAGCCACTCCATTGATATTTTGGTGGTGTGCTTTGCGTCATTGTCCTGCTGGAAGGTCTACAGACAATTCCTTTTTGTCTTCTTGCTTGGCTTTGCTTTTGACATTCACTGTCAACCCTGGGACCTTATATAGACAGGTGTGTAGACCACATTACACATAGACCACATGAAGCTGCTGAAACATCTCAAGAATGATCAGTAGAAACAGAACGTACCTGAGCTCAATTTCTCAGCTTTTTTATTTTTAATAAATTTGTAACAATTTCAAAAACTCTTTTTTCACATTGTCATTATGGGGTATGGTGTGTAAGATGTTAAGGAAATAAATTAATTTAATCAATTTTGGAATAAGGCTGGAGCATAAGAAAATGTGAAAAAGGTGAAGCGCTATGAAGACTTTCTGGATGCACTGTAAATTCTTACTTTATAGTAAAATTGCAGTAACCATTTTTTGTGCATTGACTTCTATTTTTATAACTGTCATTTTACAACAGTAACGGTGGTAAAACTATGGTTAGATAAGCCAGGTTAGATTATGATTAAATTTAATTGCTAATTTGAGGTTACCATTATGGTCTACTATGGTTACCCTAAATTATTATGGTTTTGCAACGTGGCAAAGATTATGATGCAGCCTAAATGCAAATGTGTAAACTGCATAATTGTGAATACACATATTTTAATTTCACAGCACCGAAAGAGCTGATCACCATGGAGCACCAGGTGGTATCAGCTCGTAAAAGGTATAAGCACATCACTCTTTGTGTCTTAAAAATATACATGTCATAAATATTTTTTTGCTATTACAAAGAACCTTTTGTTGAATGAGATTATTAAGTGAATTATGAAAACAGCTTCTTTGTGGAACAATTGATGCCAGTTTATTTTAACAGTGTACTGTGCGTTATTATGTATTTTCTTCCCCAGCTTCTCTGACCTAGTGGAGTATTTTGGGCTTAAGCCACGTTCTGGAGAGCAAGAAGTTGCGCCTGGCAATGTGTTTACACTTTGGTTTGAATTCTGCAATGACTTTAAGATCAGATGGAAGAGAGAGAACAAAATCATATCCAAACAGAGGTGAGAGGCATCTTGGGTATCTGATTTTCTGCTTTGCAACTTCTCTAAACAAGACACATGCTGCGTCCCAATTTACACCCTAAAAGTAGCCTATACTTTTATGTAAAGGAAAAATATGTACTCTTGGGTTTGTAACAGAACAGTATGCAAGCCTTGGAACAGACTACTTCCAAGTTAACAGATCGTTGTTGCTTAGTTATGTGCCCAGTCAATCATTCACACATCATCCACATTTCTGTCATATTTAATTTCCTACCTTATTGGAGCAGCAGCAGTAGGATAATCTGCCATTCACGAGTCTTTCATGCAGAGAAGTCTCCTCAGCTTTTTGGATAATTGTGCATTCAGAAGGAGAATGTCTTTATATAAGTTCAGTATTGAACTGCAGATGAAATATAACACAGAAGACGCGGTTTAAACGTGTTCCAGTTGGCCAGATATTGATTAACAATTTGATTAGTCATTCAAACATCTTTGCCTAAGCCTCGCTTCTTGACGGTTGGTCTCGCGCCTCCATCGTGTTTGTAGTTTGTTTACACTTTTTTATCCGCGTTTGTAGTTCTAATCGAATTCACGCCCAACGCGCAATATATTGTGGACATATCATCAGTAGGAGTATGGACGGTCCTAACTTTACACTTTAAATTTTTACCAAAAATAGGTAACAATCGGGAACTTTTAGCAAACTCTTTTCAACACACAAAGAATTGGGACATATTAATTCTATTTTCGAATACTAGTATTTGGGTTGGATTGGATGGACTATTTAGCATGGTTCGAAAGTATTTGTCTCATTTTTAACAGCCTGCTATTATAAATTGTAAAAATAACCAATAAAATAAGACTTTAATTATTTAAATGGGCAAATTGTAAATGAATGAGGCCAGTTTGTTATTTGCATATAGGCTACAGCTTTAAAAAAAACAGTTTTAACAGATTGGCAAATTTGTGTTTGTTTTTTATGATGGATGATAATAAATTGGCATTTAAAATATTTAAAGTATTTAAAGAATATTTTCAAATTTCTAAAATTCTAATCTCATTACATTATATAGGAAGTTGTCATAACTTACAGCTTACGTGCACATTTGTAAATAAACATACATATTTGTTAACAAAATAGTATGATAAGCACTGCAAATAAGCAAACTGATTAAACTGATTATTTTCTCGTTTACTTTTGTTTGTTTAACTGTCATAGCATTCTGATCAATAAATCTTTAAAAAAGAACATGAAAAGTTGCTATGTTCTACATCAATATGGCTAAAAACTATACTCTTATTCTGGTTTAATAATAATAATAATAATAATAATAATAAAGGAACTTTGCTGTTTTGAAGAGTCATACTTTAAATAAAATAATCCAAACTTTTTTAGAGTGAGATGCTAATGGTCTAATCCAATTTAATGATTTATGCTAGGCTAAGCAAAAATTGCTCCCTCCATGGGGATCGGCTGAGTGGATTAAAATTTGGTAATACTCAACAGTTTAATTGGAAAACCCAAAAAGTTAAGAAAACTCTAACCATTTGAGGAAATCGATTGCAACAAGCCATTTGTTCAAAAACTAATCGTAATGAGTACTGTAAAACCCAATAAATGGAGAGAACTCAAACCAACTGAGTACTGTAAAACCCAATAAGTTAAGGCAACTAAAACTGTTTGAGTTTTAAAAAAATAAAAATAAACTATATGAGTGCTGTGAACTTACTCCATTTAAGTTGAGGTAATGAGGTATTTAATTAACCCATTAACTTTAACAGTGAGTTAAAAAATTTTCGAATGAGTAGAATTAACTTTCAGTCAATTTTCAGTTAACTAAGCTCCTTTCATTAAGTTGACCGTTTTGCAGTGTATACGGGTTTATTCATGAACTTTGATATAAAAACTTGCTGGGATTGTAACATTATGGTCAAATAAACTACACTCTTTTTAACTTCAGACTTAAAGAAGCCCAACAGTCAGTTCGCAACATGACAGCAGAGAAGAAGATTGAGACGAGAAGAGCACATGCGAATGGACTGGTAAGAGTAAGAGAAGTGTGGGTGGCAGATTGATAAGCACTTAAACACTAGTCACCATTGTACTTTCATGAATAAGCTTTTTCTGTCAGCCCAGACTCCAAACTCTATTGCACATAATGCAAGCATAGCTGTTTGTTTTGAATAACTATGTCAATTGATGTGTGTGTTTAATGACAGAAAGAGAGACTGTGTATGAAAGAAGCAAGTCTGACCACCAGCTAACTGTTTCCAAAAAGGCTTGTATTGAAGACCTAGCTGATTTTTGGCAAGGTCAGAAAGAAGTGCACCAGCTTGTGGGACACTTTTCTCCAGCCTGAAAGTTGCAGGATGACTGCCTGTCTGACAGTGTGGATTGTGTGTATGATGCAATAATCTTTTTGCTCACTTAGATATGTATGTTCTAAATATTCCTAATGGTTCAGATATAAGGTGAAGTTTTTAAATGAATGTTCCTAAAAAATAAATATTCCAAAATTATGTTTTCCCAGTGGAACCACTCCCTAAAGAACTGTTTAACCTTTTAAATAACCATTTTTGTTAATGGTGTAAAAACATTTTAGAAATCTTAATCATTTGTTCACGCCTTAAAAGAACATTTTGGTCAATGGAAAGGTCTGGTCATTAGGGTTCTTCATTAAAGCCACCTTTATTTTAAGAGTGTATTACAAGTTCACTTACTCTGCTTTATGATCTTCACCAGTTTGTATAATTAAGGGTTCAAATAGTGCAAATTGAAGACGGCAATCTTGGCATTCAACTTAGAAAAAAGCAGTCACTTTATTTTGCATATTGAGTAACAAAAGTTGAGTATTTTTTATGGCCATATTAAGTCATTACATAACATAATGTACATTTACAATCATATAATTTTAAACTATAACTGTTTTATTCAGCACATCACACCTTTTTTATTGACGACATGTATGTGGATTTATCATTGAATCACAGTAATTTTGTTCCTTGTAAATGCAGTACTGTACAAAATGTTCATTGTTATAAAAAAAATGTTTGCATGCATTTCATTTGTCACCTGTATTTTCTTCATCAGGAGAATAAAAAGATTGTAAATATGGCACCACATATATTTGACAACACAGATATAAAAGCCAGCAAAACATTACTTGGTATATTTGGGTCTTGCTTATTTACACCCATATAGCCTTATGTGTGCGTTTATGTATCTTACAAATCTAGCCACAGAGTACTATATTTGCATCAATGTGCAAATCTTCCTCCACACAGTGGAGAATAATATAAAAATATGTCTAATTACAACTACAGGCTACTTATAGTACATTAAATTGCATCAGATGAATATCTTCACAATATTAAGACTGTTGTTTTGACTAAACAAACACATATCAATGATATATGTCAAGCATGTTAGTCAAGACAAACGCACGCATGTAGCCAACAACAACAACATCAGTCAGTGAGTTAAGGTTTAATCCAAGTCGACAGAAGTGCAGCGGCACTGTTTGACACGCCGCACGCGCTTTTTCTTGGTGTTGGGAGTTTGACCGGGGCAGAAGAGCGTGTAAGTGACGGTCGTAAAACTTTTGGGCTTGCACACGGAGCACGACTGGAACGCGCCATCCTCTTGGTAAATGTGTCGAGGGATGTAGAAAGAGTTGCACTGTCCGTAGCAGAAGCGGTTGATGATGGCGCGCGGTTGGCATCCGTCTTCGTAGATCATCAGCTTCAGCGGCTGCGTTTTACACCAGTCGAGTTTGAGATACCGGCGCTCCGTTACGTGTAAAGCCTCCTGGCTGGAGTCCAGCACCTCGTCCCCGGCTGAAGGCGGTCCCATTCCCCTGGAACCGGCCTGCGGTGTCTGCGGTGACTGCTCCGACTGGTTTGGACTGTATTTATTTGGGTGAGGAATGGCGCCTTGAAATCCCCCGGTTCCCCTGATCCTCGCCGGATTGCAGAGCAGCCACAAGACCACGATAGTGACAGCTAATGCGTCTTTAGTCATCCTTTCACATGGAGAAAGGAACAGAACATTCATTTCAATTCAATGTAAACTAAATCATAGGCTATAAATATATATATATATATATATATATATATATATATATATATATATATATATATATATATATATATATATATATATATATATATATATATATATATATAGTAAACATTTGAAGTGAATCATAGGCTTTTAAAGTTGTCATTGGATAAGAATGGGTGTTGTTGAATATTTTATTACTTTGATTTAAAGTTTTGATCCACTTCAAATGTTGACTACTGTATACATTGAACATATTTGTCTTTACGAAAAAAAAAACATAATGCAGCTTTTATATTAAAGTTACAATAATAAAAAATATGTAATAAACATTTCAAGCCCTCTCCCTCAAAAAAAAAGCTTGTTCTAATTTCCTACATATTTTAACCAGTTGCTACTGTCTTCTGAAATCATATGAATAAGTAATTATTTTTAATTAAGATAAAATGTTTGTTTTTCAAATAAATATTCAGTAGATGTGCAGACTTACCTCAGTTTAATAGTGGTTTAAACTTCTGCTATGTTCACAAAGGTCTTTGTGCACCATAACAAACTACAGATAAAAATAGACTGAACCAAATGATCCAGAATTCCGAGTCAGAGTCAAAATAAGGTATGGAGCTCTGTTCTGAGCGCTGACGTTTAAGAGAATGCAGCAGTCCACGCCTCCTCTTAGTCTACCATCATTCACAGCATTTTGGGGATGGTCCTGTGTTTCTAGAGCTCCTTCATGAAGATTGTATATTCATAAACTTAGATGAATCATGATGCACGAACACATGTTTCAAATTATCTGCACATGAAGATATACATCATTTTATTTGATTATATAGTGTTACAACAAAAGTTGCGTCAAGAGAATATTCATTAATGTTATACAATCATCATTTGTTGCTCTATTAATAATATGATTCAGTTGAATATCACACATCATTTGGTGCTTACTTTACTGTGAAACTGATAAGTTATGTTGATTATACAGATTTTATGATCAACATGATGTTCAGGTCTTGATATTGCTTGTAGCGGTTTCAACCTCATCCTCCTCTGGGAAATGTGGCACTGATTTCTTGGCCACCACGTTATCCAGCCTCTGTCCCATCAGATATGGATTTGGAACACTCTGAAACGCAGTCAGTGACAGAGTGACAATTTTACTGAGAACACAAGATGTGTACTGAGAAAGCAGCAATCCGAAATGTTTTAGTTACATTCATATTTATAGCATACCCTTTTTCTTCTCTTTGGCCCACCCTTCAGTTTTTCATACAACAGTCCTTTATTCTGAAAGCAGAACAATGGATATTATTGCAGTCTGTACACAGATCTGTATTTACATATCTGTACAATATTAACCATTACTACAGACTCTTGTGGAAGACCGTTTTGTCAAATTTGGATGAGTTTATATAATATTTGTGCATATTCATATGATTAATTTAAGGTCAATAGAGTGAATGATCTTGTGTGCTTTTTTATTGTACAAATCAAATTGAACAAACTCTTATAAAGTCACCCCTTCATAAATAGTTATGTTTCTGATGAGATCGGGTTTGCTGTTGTATAGGTGAAACATTGAAAATTATCATCATTTACTCATACTCACTTCTTTTCAAACACAGGAAATTAATTTATTGCTGCAACAGCAATCAAAATGTTTAAATCACATTTCTGAAATTTCTGCCCCTCCATTGAAAATCTATTCATCCTAAAACTGCGACGTCCATAAAGAGATCAAAAAATAACTGGAACATATAATTGGAACTGACCCCTCTAAAGAGATGCAACTGATTTTGTAGCAATTCGAATAGGTAGGCGTGCCAACTTTTAAAATTAATATAAGTAAAAATACAAATACAGTGGCGCAGTAGGTAGTGCTGTCGCCTCACAACAAGAAGGTTGCTGGGTCGCTGGTTCGAACCTCGGCTCAGTTGGCGTTTCTGTGTGGAGTTTGCATGTTCTCCCTGCCTTTGTGTGGGTTTCCTCTAGGTGCTCTGGACATGCGGTACAGGTTAATTGGGTAGGCTAAATTGTCCATAGTGTATGAGTGTGTGTGTGAATGTACGTGTGGATGTTTCCCGGAGATGGGTTGCGGCTGGAAGGGCATCCGCTGCGTAAAAACTTGCTGGGTAAGTTGGCGGTTCATTCCGCTGTGGTGACCCCAGATTAATAAAGGGACTAAGCCGACAAGAAAATGAATGAATGAATTTATAAAGTCAGTGCTATACGAATGCAGTAAACCTATAAATCAAAAATAAATCAAGCAGAATTAAACCAGTTTGAATTGCATTCAATTATTCAATTTGTCCTCCTTACAACACCAAAAAATAAGATTAAGTATTTAACAACCTGACAAAAAAGTAAGTTGAACTTTTTAAATGTTATTAATGTTTTGTATTTATTATTTATTTTTTTTCAGAAATTGAGACATCAATCTTACACATGTAGAATAGATTGGATGTGGAAAAGTACTTGATATCTTTTAATTACAGCTTTATCCTAATAAATAGTACATGAAAAGTCTGAGATAAAAAACTGAGAGACTTTAAATCTAGTTCTAACTTTACTGCATAATTCACAAAACAAATAGTTTTATTAAAATTACAAGTTTGAAGTTTCCTCCAGCCAGTTTCAAAGTGAACTCACCCACTTGGCCAGTGCAGGATAGTCATGCTCTGGGTCAAAAAGGTGCTGATGTTTCTGGAACTCTCGACTGAACTCTGCAGTGTCTGGAGAATTTTCTAAACACCCATCTGCAGCTAGAAAAACATGTACACATTTTAGAAACTAAAAGATATGCACAGGCTGTTCACATACCGTTTGAATCTTTGGTTTAATTCAATTGGAATTTTTTTCTTTCCTCAGAAAAATTGATTCAGGTTTTAGGTTACTGACAGAATGAATTGATGTTCCACTATATTAGAGCATTTGAACCTGCATACCAGTCTTTCCAAGGGGGCAAGGGTTGGGAGGGTCAGGATAACCGTGGTCCTCGCTGAAATCTTTGGGAACACTGTCCCCTGTTAACTCTGCTACAATGTTAGGGATGTTCCCATACGGCCCGAGATGCTGGAGCCCCTCATGAGCACCACCTATTGGACAAAGTTCAAAATGACATTAAAGCAGCCGCATAATGAAGAGCATTATATAAGAACAAACCTTTAAACTTATTTACAAGTTCTTACATCCTATATGTATAATCATTTAAAATGTAATTCATCTGCAAATAGGTTATATACAGAGAGAAACGTATACCTTGGATGCTGAGAGGACCAACTATGTTGGTGGCCTGGTGCGCGGGATATTCGACCCGGGGCCGCGCGATGCCCAGCTGCTCCATTACACCGTGAAGCAGGCGCTGGATGTCCGCTTCCGACACCTGATCCACAGTGCGTGGACTGCGGCCAGAAACCACGGCTATCAGGCTGAAGATGACACTCAGAAAAACCGTGTGTGTCATTTTTGAAGTCGAACCCATCTCTGACGTTCACTACACCGACAATAAACACAAGATAAATGTATCTCTGCAGGCTACTGTAAAACGCCTATGTAAACATTACGTTATATATAGCCTATTGTTACATCGCATATTACCAGTTAAACAGAAATTATGAATGCTAAAATGGACTATAATGGCTACGGATTATATTACTGAGTTTAGAGAAAACGCACATCTTATGATAACTACGTCACAAGCAAACAGGCTTGATAAACAGATAGGCCGTTACACACTCACATTATGAAGCATACTCGAATATCAGGAAATGTAAATAAAACACAGTGTGTTATATAGAGAATAAACAGCTAACCTAACGTCAAGAGAAAACCTACCATGTAATCCGGACAGAGAGAGAGGATATCGGGTTCAGCAGAGATGCGGTGACGGTCCTCCTCCTCTACGCTTCATTTGCTCTGTTGCTAAGCAGCCGAATCATCTCAGCTCGACAAATTGCCATTGGTTTACGACAGGCACGTTGTCATTTAAACGTGCTGCTGTGTTTTATTGGTAATATATTTAAAGTGTAAGTACAGTAAGTAAAACATATTGTTCTCATTACTTGCACAATAACTGTAGGCTAATTTTAGCTATAACACTTGTGCATTAATTATGTGTCGTGTCGTCATAGGCCTACTACTCGAAAATGTTTTGGAAATGTCGGATTATAAAAATTGTTCAACTTGTCTAAATCAGATTTGCTATAATTCTCTATCTGTTGTTAATCCAAAATTACATTTAGAAGGCGTTAAGTTGATTGATAAAAATGTACTACACATTCATAATATTTTTCAGAAGCAAAACAAAACTAGAGGCAAATTTTCATTTTATGGTTAATATATGAATTGGGAAAAAGCCTGGTTAACTCCCTTCAAATACACTATTAATAATAAAATTAAGGAATTTCATTTTAAAATACTACCTAGGCTACATTTTACCCAGTAAATTATTTATTATTAAAGTACATTGAAATGGAGAATATCTGTGGTTTCTGCAATGCAGATAAAGAGAACCTTTGTCTTTTTTTTTTAATGCAACATTGTAAACGATTTCTGCAAGGATTTAGTCAAATATATTTTTAAATAACACAACTTAGTTATTATTTTACAATAAATTGTACATATATTTTAATATAAGAACAAATCCAATAAAAGTCTTGAATATATTGTTAATCTGTATTTTATTAGCTAAATTTTACATAAACAAACAGAAATTTGCCAAGTCATCTCCCATATTAAAATTTTTTTGTATCGAGTTTAACTTCTTTATTTCTACTGTGAAATCGTAGAAAGGCAAAAAAATCTGAGATTTGTGAAAATTATTATAACACTTTTTGTATTCCCCTGTTAATTCTTAAAATCAATGAATGTAGAGTGTATTTAATATATATATATATATATATATATATATATATATATATATATATATATATATATATATATATATATGTATATATATATATATATATATATATATATATATATATATACATGTGTAATATATATGTGTGTGTGCGTGTTTGTTATTTTTTATTTAGATTTGTTTACCTTTACCATTGCTGTATAGTTTTTTATGTTTCATCTTTATATTGTGTTGTATGTTCCTGATGGTTTATGCAAAAAAAAAAAATACTTGTAGGTTTACTTTAAATATAAAAACAATACAGTTTTCAATGTAAAAAAGGCTATAATTCTAATGGATAGCTTTTCGGGTGCGTGCAAACAAAATTATGGATCGATAGTATTCTCTGGAACAGGCATGAATTAACGTTATAGGCTGTATTACATAATTTATGAAACAGCACAATGTACACCTGCAGTGCCACTTTAGTTTACGGAGCAGTTGCAATAAATGATTACTGACCTTTTATTATTACTATTATTATTATAATTATTATTATTAATAATAATAATTTTTAGGAATGTGGGATAAGTATTTTTGCCACTGGGCCAGATTAACTACAAAACCCAAACAAACCCCTACCTGTGAATGGTCAAATATGTTGAGGTAACAAAGATCTTAGCATCTTTAACATGGGCCATAATGTTATATAAGGTGAGTGGGCCAGTGTATCTCAAAACAGCAAGGCTTCTGCGTTGCACCTGGTCAGCATTGTTGAGGATTTACCAACAGTGGTCTGAAGAGGAACAAATCACAATCTGGTAACAGGGGTGCTGAGTGCTCAATAAGGCTCATGGATGCACAAGGGGCAACTAATTCTATCCTGTCTGTTCCAAACCAACAGATGGTCTAATGTGGAACTAGTTACGCAAAACTTGGTGGTTATAGGAGAAATGGGTCACAACACACAGTGGTTGCAGCCAAGGACCAATAAGAGTGGCTATGATGATCCTTGTCCACTACTGAAAGCGCCTATAGTGGAAAAATAAGAGCCCGAACTGAACTTTAGAGCAGTAAGGTTGCCTGGTTCATTGACTTTTATGAGTCTTGTTACTTTTATATAACGTTTATGTGGCACTAGGACACAGTGTGACGGTGAAAAGCCAGTAGAGGGGGGTGTGATGCTTATAAATTGTGTTGCAGACCAAATACACCCCTCATGACATGGAAGTGGCTATAGTCGTTAGTTCACCTTATAGATTCACTTTATCAAACACAATATGTATGGACACATCAGAACTTTTATTACAACGGTACATGTATATACAGCACAAGGCACAGTACAAAGGCATACGGGGGGTTAGTTGGACTGAACAGAGAAGGATTGAAGATTTAGAAGCACTTTCTGTGGACGATGGAGGGACCTGCCTCATCATACTCCTGTTTGCTGATCCACATCTGCTGGAAGGTGGACAGGGAGGCCAGGATGGAGCCACCAATCCAGACGGAGTACTTGCGTTCAGGGGGAGCAATGATCTGGAGGACAAACACAAGAGTATGAGTGGTAGACTGTAAAACTGCAATTTAACCAGTGGGATGCAGTGTTTCAGTAAAAAAATAAATACATTACAACATTAAGCCTATTTTAGTCTATACACACACACACACACACACACACACACACACACACACAAATAACAACAAATACTTTCACATTATTTTCCTTAAAAAGTACTTTGATTGTAATATATCTTTTTTCCAACACTGGCAGGATGTTTACCTTGATCTTCATTGTGCTGGGGGCCAGAGCAGTGATTTCCTTCTGCATGCGGTCAGCGATACCTGGATACATGGTGGTACCACCAGAAAGGACGTTGTTGGCATACAGATCCTTGCGGATATCAATGTCGCACTTCATAATGCTGTTGTAGGCAGTTTCATGGATGCCAGCGGACTCCATACCTGTGAGGTACAACGTCCCACACTGCGTTAGCATATTTCACAAGCTCTTGAGATGTAAGAACAGCAACGCAAGGTGATCTGACCAGGCCAAACCATAACTTACCAATGAAAGAGGGCTGGAAGAGGGTCTCAGGACAGCGGAAACGCTCATTTCCAATGGTGATGACCTGACCATCAGGCAACTCGTAGCTCTTCTCCAGAGAGGAGGAGGAGGCAGCAGTGGCCATCTCATTCTCAAAGTCCAGAGCCACGTAGCACAGCTTCTCCTTAATATCACGCACAATCTCACGCTCGGCTGGGGAGGAGAAAAGATAGTAAGTATATTGTATTTCTGGTAACGGCAGAAATAACAAAGTCGCTTTAAGCCAAGTCATTTAACTCGGCGGCCATCTTTGAAACACCTCTTGGGCAGTATGCTCGGGCATTCTGTTTGAATGGGGAAAAATCTAATTCTCCAAAACTGCTTGCCAAGTTTATGACTGAATTTCATATTAGGAATCAGCACAATAGTATCTGGATGCAGCCTTTATGATGCAAGCTGAGATCTCATAAAATTTGCATTTAGTTTTATTTCTAAATGTTCAAATCATACAAAATCTGCAGAAACTCATGTCTGGTCCGAGCCCCTGTCCCAGAGTATCGTCAGTCTATATCTATGGATGATTGGCTTCTTTACTAGAAGGCAGGCTTTATTTGCTTTATAATGATCAGTGGTTGGCTCCTGTACTAGTAGGCAGGGCTTCATTACTCATATTGACCATTAAACTTTTCCCCATTCAAAAATATACGAGTCACATGTCTTGTGTATTCTATTGTCTTTGGTAATAATCACTATATGCTAACACACATCTACATATTTTACCGCACAATATGCTAACTGTACTAATGCTAATGCCCAATCTGAACTGTTAGGTTAAAAATGTAAATAATAAAAACATTTAACCCAGTTTGTCCAAATTTGACCAAATGTTAAAGCTACCCAACTTTGAGTGTGTATAGACTCCCCATCCAAATTGTCCCATATTTTAATACTATTTTATAATAAATTGTTCATTCTCGACCCTGAATTGCTTACAGTCTTTATAGGCAAGGCAAGTTTATTTATATAGCACATTTGATACACAGTGGCAATTTAACAAGGAGTAGATCGCTTCCGGGAATGGATCGCTTTAGCTAGCCAAAAGTAATAAAAGGTCTTGATCTCAGCCAAACGCCAGGAACTTCCACTGCAACATATTATCAGTGGCGAGTCGCGTCTCGAATCCCCCTTATTGTAATTATGCTGCTATCCCACAGAGACAGATCTACCAGTATGGTGATGGCCCAAGTTAAATCTTCTAACTGCCCAATCAGATACAATTTTTCCATATTCCAAAACACTGGTGTATCATATTTTCTTATTGTCTCTGGGACTTTTCCATTCTAGTGATCACCCCACTCTGTGAACTTTTACGGCACCTATTAATCTGTTGGACGTCTCGAACAGATTAAATTTTTGACCTAAAATCAAAAAGTTAAGCTTTACAGCGGTAATTACGTGCCCCCCAATTTCACTTCTAGACATAAATCGCACAGCCCCGGATTTTAACCCTCTCCTGGGTGTAATTGGCTTTAGCTATTTACTCCCGGGTAGTTATTTTAGTTATTTTTAGTTTTTTTAGTTATTTTAAAAGAACGTTGATAACAAGTAGCCTCTGAATTCTATAGTAGAGGAAAAAAAACATTATGGAAGTCCATGGCAGTTAAAATTTTTCGATGTACCTTCTTTCGTTTACAACGAAGTTTAAAACAGATGGAGGATGTGTAAATGATGACAGTTTTTAAATTTTTAGGTGAACTGTCCTTGTAAGTATGGTTTTTGAGTACCCACCAGTGGTGACGAAAGAGTAGCCACGCTCAGTCAGGATCTTCATCAGGTAGTCAGTCAAGTCACGACCGGCCAGATCCAGACGCATGATGGCATGAGGAAGAGCATAACCCTCATAGATGGGCACGTTGTGGGTCACACCATCACCAGAGTCCAGTACAATACCTGTA